TAGCGAAACCTCTATAGTGAATACTTATTCAGAAAAACTATTCTACGAAGACGATATCACTAATCAAATATCGCTAATTTTGTATAGTGAATCGAGAATCAATAATCGGGAAATTTTATAGTTGGAAGTCATTATCGTGTAACCCCAATAGTGGAGTATTCATAATTTCGCAATAATGTTTTCGCGATAATGACTTTGTGCATATGTAATCGCAATAAAAATAATTGCTATAATAGGGTCGTGTATTGTTTTTGCTGTTAAAGTTTCGGGGAAATAATTTGCAAAATTGGTTAAGCGATATTACTTTTGATCTATTACTCTTATAAAACGACATTGGCGGGGAAAAAAATAATGGTGTTTATAAGATTTTTGGTGAACTGACCTGATAGGGATTTCATGGTACTATGATTTAATTTCAATTTTATAATGCGCTTATTATTTGTGCATCCTAATATTGGTTTTATATCATAATTAATTATACATTTATAATATTTTTGTTAATTCTACCAAAATTCGAAATCATGTATGTTTATTATTAAACATATAATTAGTTTATTCTAAAATTTTTTTATTTTTTCATAGAATCCAACCCTAATATTTACTAGAAAATTATAATTTAAATAAAATACAGTAGAATAAACGGGAGCTAGACGGTAAATCTTTGGTCAAAATCATCAAAGATCTTAAGAATGATAAATATGAATAATATATCAATTTTTAAATATCAAAAAGCTTTAATAATTCCAATAGTATCTTAATTAAAAGATATATATTATCAACTAAACTGCTATGGTGGACCAGACTCGAGGCCAAGATCATCATAAGAGTTTCTTCGCAAAAACGTTCCATTTTGGATATACCACTTAATATATATATTGTACTATATAGTAGATATTATAAGAAATTTATAAGTTTTTAATCTTATTAAATTTTTCAAAATATTCCTCTATTATACAAAATTAATTTTATTTTTTTTAATCAAATGATTGAATAACCTCAACAATAATATACCATAGGGAATTTATTTTATTTTTATACTTTCAAAATTATGTTATAATATTTTATTAATTTATTGATCTGTTTTCTCTGTTAAATGTAAACTTTGACGATTAAATATGATTAGGAAAAAATTAACATAAATTTTTTTAAATATTTTTTAAAAAAATAAAATAAATGTTTAGTATTTTATAAGATATAATTACTTTGATATGCAACAAAGTATTGATTTGTAAAACTAAGATCCGTCTGTGTTTTGGAATATTTTCTTGCTCTGTATATCTGATCCAGGCTTCAGTTTCAAATCTTAAGCTAATAACTAGAATACTTAATGCATGAAGTGTTTTAATTTTCGTTTTAATTAGATAAAAATCCTTGAAAATCATAAAATTAAAAATTCTGTCTATTTTATTGCATTATTACAAAATTAGGTAAGGCGATAGTTTAATACGTCCGGCATGTGTAGTAGGTTTTGCTTTAAAACACTAATTGAAGCTCTTATTAAATTAAAAAATCCTATGCCGGAGATGTATTCCCATTATGTGTAGAATACCCACCCTAAGAATTTCAGAGAATTTTGCAATAACTTTTGAAGAATTTTAATTTATATAATAAATATATTTGGAAAAATTATGAAAAGTTAATATTAAAGTATCTTACAATATTTGTCATAAAATTGTCTGAAATTTATAGGGTGGGTATTACACACATATTGGAATGCATTTCCGGAAAAGTCAGAAATTTTAAATTTAATAAAACGCGCTCAATTAATGATTTAAAATGAAAAAAATAAAACAATACCCATCAAAAATTATGCTTTATCCAAATTTATATATGAAAAAAAATGTAAAATATTTCATACCTCATTATTTTTCTAAAAACATTTTAATTCTTTTTTGTTCATTTTATAATTGTGACAACCAATCAGTCAATAAAAGGGAGAATATGAAGGAAATATAAAAATCAATTTTTGGACCATGGACAGGGCAGGGCTTATATTTTATTGATGAGGACCGATGGTAAATAGGTGGATGTGAACCCCCATGATAAAGTTAAAATTTAGCCAAATTTAACAATTTTTTCTGGTCATAAATATTTCCTTTTTTAAAACATAAATTTTAATACCTTTTCTAGAAAGTGTAGGAAACGGTTTCATTTTAAATCATATAGGGTCATTATAGAATTTCATGAACAATATCATTCTAGTTTTGTATAAACAAGCGGCTTAATATTGGATATATACAAGTTGAATTTCATTTGTAAAATAAAAAATAATTTTACAAGTGGTTGATTTAATATTTTCCGTATCCATAATTTCACATGAGAAGGGGGGGGGGGTTACACTATCAAGGAGGGCGGTTGGGGTTCCCTCATAAATTTTATTAGATCTTTAGGTTCATTTTTGAGTTTGGTTATGTTATATTTCAAAACTGCTTTTCTAAAAATTTTGAATTATAGTCTATTTTAAAAAATGATTAAATTTTACTTATTTTTCTTTCAAATTATTCTTGATAGTGATACATATTTATAGATGGAGGGGTGGGGGTATAGGGTAAGCTTTTTTATTAGCTTAAAATGATATTTACGAGAAGATGAACTTTCCGATGGGGAAGGAAATTTCGCACTCTTGGTTATGCCGCTGAATTTAATATTTTATCATATTTTTCAATAAAAAATTTTTTTTTAAAGAAAATAGCAACATTATTTCAAAACTATGATTGACATAAATAAATAAAGAAAAGTATAAAATACCATATTAAAAATAAATAATAATAAAATTTTTAACTTTAATTAAATTATTCTATCAAATTATACAATATATATTTTTTTTAAATTAACATGAATGTGAGAATTGTATAATGATATAGTTTTAATATAATTATTTTAATCCTAAAACACGACTAAGATAAAAATGGTCACCAATCTACTAAATATACACTAATATTAATTCCTGAAATTTTCTGAAAAAAAGTCAAATGATATTATATTTATAATTAAAACATAAAAATAGAATAAAAAAATATGCCAGAATTTAAATAAAAATGTATACCACAAAGATCAAAGATGTTTTTTTGTAATTTTAAAGATATATAAAAAGAACTCTTTTTTTTAATCTTAATTAATTAAATATAAAATAACATTTTAATTTTAGATGATTCTGTTTTATATATTCAACTTCAAATTTTTCTAGAACACATAAATCTGATAAAAGTCTATAGATAATTAAAACTATACTTTTTTTTTAACCGAAAAAAAATAATATAATATTTTTTTCATCTATGCCCCATCATTCATAGTTTATTTTTTTTTAACGCTACTCTATAAAACATATTTTTAACATTGAGATTCTTTTAAAAAGTAGCGTTAAAAAATTAAAATAGGGTGAGGCCTCCTTGCATCGTTTTATTATAGCGAAGGTCTCTTGCAAATATCATACGAAATTTTTAATAAAAATATGAAAAGAATCAAGTGGAAAGAGCATGTTTAAAAGAGAAAAAAAATTCCCTTTCTGAATAATAGTATAAATAAATGCTACATATTACCTCAAAATATCATTTCGAACGATGGGGTTTTATTTTTTTATGGGCAAAGTTAAAATGATACTTTATAGAGGTTTAAAATAATAATTCACAAGATTTAAGTGATATATGATACAAGTTTAATACATTTAGGTAAAATTCTATATAATAGTTTTCTGCCGGGTCAGGAGATTATTTCGAAAAATCTCTCGTTCCCAAAGTGTGCAGAAAATTTTATATACTAATTGATAATTAATGAGGTATTAAATATGATATGAAATTATTCGGTTATAACTATATTTTGTTTACAAAAATTATGATCGATTATATTCTTTTTGATTATTTTGGCGATAATGTATAATAATTTTTATAAAGCTTATTAAAGCAAACTATTATAATCATAGGGGTATCCAGGAGTGGGGGGGGGAGCACTATTAGGTAGGTTTTTTCCCATTAATTTTATTAGAAATCGTGAGGTCCACTTATTGCAGGCCTTTGGTTATATTAGATTTTTTGAAAAATAATTTATTTTTATTTTTTTAAATTTTAATTTATGATAGTTATTTTAAAATTCTATTAACTTTAATTAATTTTTCTTTCAAACTTCCTCTTCCTATATATTTATGGGGGAGAGGGGGCTGGGGAGTGTATAAAGGCTCTATTAGCTTAAAATGATATTCAGGCAAATTTGCGATGGGGGGAGATCCCTCCCTCATCATTGGTTGCACACCTGATTATTATACTAAATTCGGCAGAAAAATCAAATATTTCGTATACTTAAAACATTTAAAGATATAAACATTTAATTCTGAGTGAAAAATATTAATAAACAAAATAGATAGTAAATTTACCTTAAAACCTTTCCAATTTTAACGTTAAATTTCAGGCCCTGACTAGAAAACATATTTATATTAAGATCCCGGCTAATAACCATGACAGGGCAATGTGAAACTGGCCTTTTAGGGGTAAGTGATTTAAAAATTGAGTCATAATAGGTTCTCATTTATATTTGAAAAAAATAAACTTTCTGAAAGAAATATAATATAAAGGAGCACATTCGCAGCTAAGCGCGACACCCATGAACTCACTAATAGATTATTACGTTTAAGCCTGATGGAATTTATTAAATCATAAACGACATCATTTGATTATACATGCAAAACATCTGTCGGAGGGCATATTTTAGGTTGCCTCAAATAGGTAAAAAAAGTTACTATATAATGTGCTATATATAGTGGAAATCCATAAAAGTATAAGTCTAACACTCCTATCTTTCCGATGAGCCCGTTGAAAAGAGCGAATTATCCTATATTATATATATCAGAGATCTCTGCAATTTTTAAAAAAAAATCCATGCCTGGCAGTGCAAATGATATTTTTGCAGGTCTCTGATTTATAATACATTACTATTCCGATATATATAGTAGATCTGACTATTAAGTACTATTTCTTTTTTTTTAAAAGTGTCTTTATTAAATTAGATATATTGATATAATATGTATAATATAAAGATCAATTTAAATTATTATCATTATATATAAACATGTTATAAAAGTTTTACAATTTGTAGATATATATTTTGGGACAAAAATGGTAAATTATTATTAGGTATGGTATGTATATGTATTATATAAATTGTTCCAAAGTTGGAAAAAAAACTTTATCATTTATTGTTACACCATCTTCAAGTGATCCAAATAAAAAAAAATGATAACAATATAACTACATGATATACAAAGATGACGAAAAAAAATGGGAGAAACATATATTATATACCATTAAACGAAAAATTAGGGAGGAATTTTTAATTGTCCAAGTATTTTGATTTTTAAAATGTGAAATTTTATTTTTTCTTAAAAAAAAGAATGATTTAATAATTATAAAAAAAAACCTATCCAGTTGATTAGAAAAGAAAGAAATAAAGAAAAAAACCAACAAATTTTTGGATAATTACGGAAATGATCCAATACAATAAATGATAACGCATAATTGTAATTTAAAATTGTACTAAAAAAATCATTTTTATTTATTTTTTTTGATAAAATTTCGCTAAATGAAAAAAAAATATATATAAAAAAATTTGTCATAGTTTTAAATTAATTTTATTTCCAAATATATTTTAAATTTTAGCGGAAAGATGTTAAAATTTGGATCTTTTTATTTTTTAAAAATGAAACAAATTGGACCAGTTTAATTAATTTAATTAATATGGATAACGCATCCAAAAGGAGAATAGTGAATTTCATATAGTAGTAGTTTAAAATTATTGGCAAATATTTTTTTTAAATATAAAAAGGGAAGGGCATAAGATTTACTTGAAGGTAACTAGTAAAGAGGGAAGTTTAATTAGTTTAATAAATTATAAATTGTTAAAGGTCGTAATTCATTGCTAACTAATAACTTATGCAGTTAAGAAAAGGGGAAGGATTAGGTTGGCATAAAAAAAAATGGTGAAAATAAAATTCAATCATAAAACGTAAAATAATATATTTTTCAATATTTGTAAATAATAAAGTATATTAATTGATTTTTTTTTTCTATTGTCTTACAAAATTCGACATAAATTGAGTTATTTTTTTTTGTATAATATATTTTTTATTTTCTAATTAATTGGTCAAAAAAAATACATAATTTCGTATATTTTTATTTTAGAGGTATTGAAGGAGAGTAGTTTGAAAAAAAGGGTAGTTGTTATTATCGCTGTCGAGAATGGTGATCCTTTATTTCTTTGAACCTTAATCGGGATATATAGATTTTATTCAACATAGGGGTAAAATGGTTTTCAAAAGATGATTCAAAACAGGGGTAAAATGGTTTACGAAGATGAGTGAATATTCCAAAAAGTAATGTATTTGCTTTTTTTTTTAAAAAAAACCGAACCAAATATTTAGGTAGTATAATGCGGGGAAGCTGGGGGTGGGGGGTAAAAAAAAATGGGAGACAATATTGAATAAGAAAATATATAATGCAAAAATAAATCTTAACCGATTTTTTCAAAAAATATAAAATTTTTAAAATAAAAAATATAATAATTGTTTGATATATTAATTATGAATAGCGTTTTTGTAAATATTTCAAAATATTTTTTATTTTTCTTAACGCCAAAAAAGACAAAAAAATGAGCGAAAAGTTATAGTATGAAATATTTTATAATAAATGTTAAAAGTTGAAGGTATTTAAAAGAAGAAATGAGTATTTACAAGTAAACCAAATATGAAAGTTAACACCTTGTCCAACACCGGGAGATGGATATATTAAAATTGTTCGGAGTTGGGTGCCAATAGATTACAGGGAGAGTAGGTTTTAAAATCTAAAAGAATCTAGAAAACTTCAGAGATAGAAGCGAGATGAATGAGGGGATATTTAAGTAGATTAGTTGCTCTTTTCGAGTATGTAAAAAAAGGGGGGGGGGGTGCTGAACGCTAGGTATATAAATTATTTTCCTCCAAAAAAACAATGAGAAAGGTATAATTATCTCTTTATAAAAGAGAAACAAAATATTTTTTTCTTCTTTAAAGTATAAAGGTGAAAAAAAATTATATTATATTATGCCACAAATATATTAATTAATCAAATTCAATTCTTATAATTTTATAATGTAAAAAAAAATAGTATAATAATTCTGTAAAGCTTATTCAAAAAATAGTTTTTTTTAAATTATTTGACGTATTATTTGTCATTTATTTGAGGTAGAGCGGAAAAATTAATTATGTTCTTCGATAAATAATAAATATAGAGTCTTAGAGAAGTTTTGGTCATGTTAATCTTCATAATCAAAAAAAAAAATTATTGAAGTTTTTTGGCGCGTGGTTCTTGGTATGGCTCCAAGGTAAACAGAGCTATAGTTTTCTCCTTGATCTCGCTAATTACGGGCAAATAAACGAGGGAAGGGATGAGCGGAACGTGCGCGGAAATTGATTCCCGCCGAGAAATGTGATTTATGAGGAAGGTTTCGGCCGCCGAATAGGAATTATGGGTCAAGCGATCGGTCGTGTCACCCAAACTGTTTTTCACAAAAATAGAAGCGTTTTGGCTGTCAGAATTATTATAAGTTTTTAGGATGAATGGTTGCATAATGATTTTGTCCTTAATTGAGTCATTGGATAATGGGGAATTAGTATTATTCAAAGGTTCGATGAAAAGCGATTTTATGTCTATAGTATCTCTAGAAATTTGAGGAGATGAAAAAGATGAAGGCAGACGTTTAGTTTCTTTATTTATCGGGGAGACTTGATTATTGTCAGAATTAGATGCAAGTAAATCGCCAGGTGAAGTAGATTTTGTAACCCCAACGTTTGTAATGGATGCTGATGTGACTAGTGAATTCAGGGATAAGCTTGGTTTGGTGACTGACAATTTTGCCATGTCATGGTCTATATTGCTGGCGGATTTAGTTTGCTTGTAAGATAAACTTAAGGTAGTCGAAACTAATTTTGAAGAAATTTTGATATCGCCGTTATTAGGATGCATAGTAGATGAGTTGATAATTTTATTGCTCGAGTCATAATTGTTTGGATAGCCAGGATTTTTCAATAATGAAATAGGCATTTCAGTATAGTCGATAGAGGATTTATTGCTACGAGATAAATCGGATTTGACTGAGCCATTAAATTTCGTGCGCAAATTCCATCTTTTGCGGAATTTTTTTCTCCTTCTATATAGGCTTCCTAATTTGTCGAACATGGATCGTTTAACCCTGTTCCGGTAGTGATAATTATTTTGATAGTTTGTTCTAGCGTAAACTCTGTCCATGCCGTATTTTGTCATCGGATACCTTTGTTTAAAAATATCAGCGCGATTGCCTCTACATTTAATATTTGAGTCAGCATTATCGTTTGGTAATGCTGGCTGAGATTCAAGTGTTTCTGCTCTCGTTGTTGAAATATATTTTCTGTTTTGAGCCTTAATTTCCGATTTCTTAACAGAATCCGTGAGATCATTATACACCGAAATACCTTTATTTATTTTGTGTTGTCTATCTTGAGAGAGGTGCGATTTTTGGTGCCTCAATAAAGTCTCCGGGTAGTTGAAAGATCTACCACATTTTCTACAAGCGTGTTTAGGAATTGTAGGGTCGGATTGATATGAATTGCTTAATAATAAATGCTGGTGCGATTGAGCGCTATGACTACCATGGTATGCCGAATAATTATCTTGATTAATATAAAATTGGGATAATCTTTTGGCCATATCTTTGGTATTTGATGGATAATGATTGATTCTATTCGAGAAATTGTAGGGTGGAACATTTTGGTCCAAACAAGTAGAAGGAGCGTAGTAAGGAAAAGAGTTAATGCAGGAAGGATCTACATCTTCATCTGGATGTTCCAGATAAAGGTGTTTTAACAAAGATTTCGGGTCTTCGATTAACAGGCCGCAATAGGGACATGCAATCATCTTCGGTTCGAGCCCTATATTTTTGAAAGACGGTGAAGCAAACTTGTGAGACATAAGTATGGGCTGAGAAGAACATTGCGAAGGAGGAAATATATTGGAGCCATAAAAATTAGGGTAGTGGAATGATGGTTGTTGAGTATTGTTGATCACATGATTCATCCTACAGTTTTTGTCCTTAGGATAAAGTTGATGCCGGGGGGAAGTCTTTAGTAAGGACGAGGTAGTGGACATCGCGCAAGATTGGGATGAAGCTACCTCGGGCATCATCATATGGTTAGGGAAAAGGGTGGGATGATAAAAATATTGAAAATAAGGATGGTAATACTTCATATCATCGAAATTGTTGATTGCCTTAACCGTTTTATCGACCGATTCGTGATTAGGAGGAGATTGATAAATTGCCGATTCTTTGCTCTTAGCCCAGTTACTTTTGTATAAAACATCTATGGGCTCCTCTTTGATGCAATTATTGCAAGTATTATCGGTGTTAGAGCGATCGTGGTCAACGTGTTTAGTATTATAAAAACCCGAAGATTTTTTGTTTGATGAATGATTTGAAACCCACTGATTTAAACTCTTACCCATCTTGTAGTTTGATAGAGAGTTTGAACCGTGTGCGTAGGTTTGTTTTCTTAAAATCCGCTTAGCTTCTTCAACAGAAACCCCGTGCATTTTCACCATATGAGTCTTGAGAAAGTATTTATTGCAGAGTTCCTTCTGACAAATTTGACAAAAGCTGCTACCCCATTGATGGTAAAAATGATCTTTTGAATTATAATATCGATTATATATGTGTTTTGGGGGTTCAAACCCGCCACTAGAAATATTTTTATGATACGAGTGTATTGAATGGTTAGCAGATATCAATTTTATTTTAGATTTAGATTTCATGGTATTGCTGCAAGAAGTATCAAAATCATCATCATATTCCATCAAGCTATTAAACTCTAACGACTGATCGGATCCATTATCAAACTTCGAAATAGAGTGCCTGGTCACATTTTCTAATTTCTTTATCATTTCTGAACCTAGAGATTTGGCTTTTTCGCATGATTCAGTTTTGATAATACTACCCTCATCGTCTTCGTAACTGATTGTGATCGGCTTTTCGGTTACCATTAGTTTGTTGTTCGTGTGCGAGTTTTCGGTTCTCTGGCTGTCGGTGTGATTAAATACCGTTTTGATGTTCGATTCAACGGTTTTTAATGATTTTTGTAAACTTTCAACATTTTCTTCCCCAACTTTTTTGTGGTTTATAATAATGCTAGGATTTTTTATCCCAAAATCAATGGGCTGATCGTGAACGTTGAACAAATGGGACCTCAAAAAGTGCATGTTGTTAAAGCTTTTATCGCATTTCGTACAGGGATATTTAGAGCCAGAAACTATGATTTTGTTAGATGAGCACTTATCAGTATCGTCGGCTTTATCCGGATTGCTGCTTTGATAGTTCATTATAGCATTATGGGCTTCATCAGTTAGGGTAGGATTTGGAGAGGTAGATCCCAGAGAGGAATCATAGATTGGGTGTTGATGGGTAGTGGATGACTTTTCACATTTTGAGGGAAGGATAGTGTCGTCAGCCGATAAAGATATTTGAGATGATGAATCTGATTTGATAGATTTGTTGACATTATTGGATTCGTTAGAGAAAGGCTCGTTAGGAGTAACGATACCATGTATATTCTTTTTATGCTTTTTAAGGAAATACTTGTTGCAAAATTCTTTTCTGCAAAGGTCACAATAAGATTCCCCCGAAGAATTAGGCATTGTCAAGTCAGCCGATTGTTTTTCGAGATGAAAAGAGGAAGAAAAGGGAGGAGTGCTTTGAGACTTTGCGTGAGTTGTGAAGGTCTGAACGTTTAAACTGGTAGATTTAGAGGAACTAATATCGGGAGATTTTTGTACTTTGTCTATAACTGATTGGGTTACGTTTAAAGGATCATTTAAATTATCGCAACTACTCTTTATTACAACAGAATCATTTTTAGTGCAATTGCTATTATCGTTGTTTATGTGATCATCAATTGATGGCGATATATCCAAAACAACATTTTCATCCTTAAAATTGGGAAATGCATCATCGGTTATCTGAGGTGGGGTTTTAAAACCCTCAGGAGGCTTAGGCTCTATAACTATGTTGCTTTGCGTTGTCTCTAATAAATAGAGAATTTGAGACTTGTCGAATTCAGCTTCTGAATCCCTATTCTCACAATTGGTACCCACTTCTATTTTTTCAGAATTATATTCTATTTTTTCCGCAGCATTAGTAGTGGCTGGCTCATATGAAGAAGGGTCTAGTCCAAATTGGGGTGCGAATAGATTAAGGTTATTAGTATAAAAGTTGTTGAGGGATGCCATATCGAACACACCATGCTTGTTAGCCTTGTGCGTCTTGAGGAAGTACTTGTTGCAAAATTCTTTGTTACACAGCTCGCAAAAAGCATCATGGTTAAAAATACGAGACGGTGGGGGCGGGAGAGGGTGTTGGGAGGTTGGGGCCTGTTGCTGAAGCGAGTTAGCCAAGAAGGGTGGCATATCATACATCATGAAGGGATGAGGTAGAACGTTAGCTTGTGATGGGAGATGTGAACCAAGAGAAAACTCTTGGGAGCTGGTTGGCTCATCAAGTTTCGACGATGATTTATCTTTGGTTTCGGGCATGAAGTATTGGTAATAAGGGTTAGAGGAACCAGTCCCAAAAAAAGGCGGGAAGGCAAAGGGAGCTGCGGCGCCATAACCATATAAAGCAACGTTTGCTGAGTTAGCTGCCGATAGATAAGTATCAAAAGAAGCAAATGTAGCAGTATCCCAAAGGGAAGAAGTAACCGGGGTTGATTGACTGTTGGCGATGAATGACGGTTTCGATTTTAATTCAGGTCCCGGTTTGGTTTCTTTTAGGGTAAAATTAGTATTATGACTAACCATAATATTTGTGTTTGGACAATTCGTGATTTCTTTCTCACTTTGAGAGGACTTAGAGATAAGTTGCGAATCCATTTCTTCAGCGAGAGGCTCTTTGGATTTCATGTTAGTTTTTTTGAAATTCTTGGAATTGCCTTGACCATGGTGCAACCTTATTGGTGCAATTTGCTTTCGTTTTTTCGAACCCGCGCCATTAACAGTACCAATGCTGTAAAGAATCGATTGATTATTATCGAAATTTTTTTCTATCAAATGCTCGTTAAAATGATTAACGGTAGCCGGGGTGTGAGTTAATCTTTTATGCTTCTCTTCCATCATGTCCTTACAATTTTCCAAGCCCAACCCTACCTTCTCTTCCGAAATTTCCTCCTTCTCATCGATATCTTCGTATTCGAAGATCGTGCTTTTCTCTATGGATCCCACTCCAGAATCAGCTTTATATAAGTATTTAGCATTCATTAATTCACCAGCTAGACCAGGTGTAGAATGAGGGATGGGAAGTTGCTCGCAAACACTATGGCTATTTTTAATCGATCGTTTCATGTTGAGTGTTTTTATGTTGGGATACGGTTTATTAAACGGGCGGTGATAAGTAATGTTAGGTGGGATTGGCATATGAAAGTGATTAGGAATAATCGAGAATGATAAAGACATTTGATCAGTGTGTGTAGCATTGAGAAAATTGGGCTTATCTATATATATATAACATGATTATATAATTATTTAATATAATTAATGTATATCTAAGTTAACGATAACTTGAAATGAATGTAACATAGTTAGGCCAATATAAAAATATCACCATAGTTATACTTCTTGGTAATTTTTTTTAACATCATATAATATCATAACGCTCTTTAAGATCAACCCCTCACCATCTCTTAAAAGAATTATCTAAAATATTACAGGTATTGGGCTCCAAAATCAACTTGGGTTCCAAGTTTTTACCATGCAAATAGAAATTACAGAATAATTCATTATTAACAAATTCATATAATCATCATTGAAATTACCCCACTCCCCTCCCCGTCAAAAACTATAACTCTCTTATGGCCTTCCTCATTAATGTGTGGCCACTTGAGACTCCATCAACTACCATTCAAACACACAATATTAATTTTGCATATATATTATAATGTTTAAGTAATATAATTTTACTTTCAATGGAGCGATATCATGATTTATAATTGATCTATCCAAGCGTCATTTAGCGACTATACATCGATAATCGCCAAAGAAAAATGAATCGATCATTCGAATGTCAGCTTGTGTTTGAATATGGAGTGTTCCACCTATTTATAATAGAGTTATCGCGCGAACCCGTAGACAACAATGGAATGATTTTAACAAATATATCCAGGTAAATGGTGGAAATAAATATTTTTTTTAAAAAAAAATAAAATAAAATAATTAAAACAATTAATATAAATGCACAGATAATTTTTTTTTTTGATAAATTTGGATTTCTTCAACAAAAAAAAATCCAAGTAAAAAAAAAGAAGTTTTTAATTGATTTTTGAGGAAGGTGAATTATCGTTTTTAATTGAGTTAGTTTTTAAATGATTTTTTTGTTTTTTTTAAATTAAATGATTTTTTTGATTTATTCCCTAAATCCGACAATTTTTCTCGCCCATTCCTTTATCTTGGATATTTGTTTTTTGTTTAAATGTTCTTTTGGACGTGAGTAAAATTTAAAATTATCTATTCCCTTTTTTGTGGATTTAATTGTTTTGTTTTTGGAATTTAATTTTCTCTTTTTTTAAAGGTATAGTAAGTGCCGCCTTGCTGCCCTTCAATTCCAATTTCAGTCTTTAACCTAATTTTTTTTTTAAAATAATTAAAAATATATTAAAAAAATTAAAAATATATAAATTTATTGAATATTTAAAATTATAAAATAAAAATAAGAAATCAATCAATAATAATGAAAATAATAAACAATTTTACATTTTTTTTAAAATATATGTAAATAAATAAAAAAATGTTTGAAAATTCAATTTTTTTTTAAAAATTTCAACCATTCCCGAATTTCATTCAACTCACTGAAATTTAAACATGACCCGGCCCGATATATAACTCTCGAATAGAAATTCTATGTTTTATGATGTAAAAGAAATAAAATATTATAAAATAAAATGTAAAAATCCAAAAATTATGAAGGGAAAAAAGGCCATCTTGTTAATATCAACCGCAAAAAAAAAATTATTTTTTTACAATTTTAAAAAACATTAATAATATACTGGTTTCGTTTTTTAAAAATTTCATTTTATAAAATTATTTTTACAATTATATTCTAAAAATGTATATTATATAATTGTAATTTATTTTGTAAATGTATACAATTTTATTTGATGTACTTATTTTGATTTTATAATAGGAAATTAAGAGTTGTTACATATCAGATCATATATGTCGTATTGGGATATGGAATTCATGGGGATTCAAAATTTCTTAATTTTAAATCATTTTTTAAGAGCGATTTTTAAATTTGAACTATCGGATTTGATCGAAAATGTATTCCGGGATGAGGAGAGTACACACACTATGAATTTCAGACACCTTTGTGTATTTGTTTTTTTTTTATTTATATAAAAAATGAAAAATCTATATAAAAATTAATATAAAATAAGAGTATTTCAAAATTTCAGGGCAATTTTATCTGAAATTCATAATAAAGATACCTCTTAACATGCTGGAATATATTTCCTATCAAATCAGATTTTTCAAATTAAAAAAAATAGCCCTTAGTAAATGATATAAAAATGAGAGATACCGAATCCCTATGAACTGCATATCCCAAATACGATACTATAACAAGTTTGTCTAACTTAAGCACTGAATGGATCAACAATTTGCTATCATGGCTTGCTTAAAATATTTTGGTAACGGTAAAAATAATTCCGAAATGGTGAAAAATAAAGATTTCGCTCTAAATAGATTATATTAGAATTGAATGCGATTCATGAAATTATTATATTTATATAATTTTTATTCCATTATTAATTAGATTTAGATCCGTTGTTTATTACATTAACAACTCATCCTGCATTTTTTTTATTAATTATGTTAAAAAAATCTGTTAAAATTTTATGGCCCGGACAAGTCAACTTGTTCAGAATTTTTTATTTATAGGTATAATAGTTAAAAATTAAGGGCTACCCGAATAAACTTTATAAACATCTTGGGCCAATTATAACGGGTCGGGTTGATCTATAATATGGTAAATTTCCAAATATATTAACAATTTAAAAAGAAACCAACCAAATCTTATTTTGGAAGATAAATATTAAAAAAATATTTCTTTTAAGCTTAGCTAATTAATAATGAAATATAAAAAAAAGGATAAATTTAATCTGATACACAAAAATTGGAAAAAAAAATCATGTCAAAATTTAATGTTAATTAATAAGTATTATAAAATAAATTTAATGTTATATAATAATAATTTTTCTCTTATTCTGGTTTAAAGCATTTTGTTTGTTCGGCCTAAAAACAGTTTTTTAATCAAAATAAAAAGTAATTAATTAGTTTATGTAAATTGTAATTTAGTTATTTCATTTTTTTTTAAAATTAGATTTTATGTAGAGGTAATGCGGACTAAATGAAGGATCAAAATTTTAAAAACTCCATTTTATTCTTACATCATCATTCTTATTAGCGTCTAGCGATGATCAAATTTTAGTTTCTGACGGGACGCGTACAAATTTTTTTTTGAAATAGAAATTTTTTAAAAAAATTTATAATATATAATATAATAACTTTTATCATAAAATTCGAATAGAAATTCCTTTTTGAAAAATTAATCCTCGAGAGCCCAGGCCGCAGATTTTTCAATAGTTTAATAATTTAAATTATTTTGGGCTTCACTCGGTAGTTTGTGAGTTCTAGCGCTTTTTTTATTGACCCCCCCCCCCCCCCCACCAATCATCATAAATTATTTTATTTATCTACCAAAATACTTATTTTATTAAAGAATTTTTTTACCTCATTAGTTATTTGAGGAGCAAAAGGGTGTGGGATTTAACATTATTTTAAAATTTTTGTGACAGTTTGCAAATGGCAAAATTTTCAGTCTCGGTTCGGCGGGAATTACTGTCCATAAAAGATTAGCTGAAAAGAAACTGCTTAAGGGCCAAAAAGGCGGGCATAACCTTGGCATGTTAATTAAAAGTATGAATTTTACGAAGCCTGTCTAAATTACACAATAGCTATCGGCGAGGGTCCGGCTCGTGAAAAAATATTTAAATTTGGGTAGCAGGTATAATGTCAATCATTTTCTTTTTTGATTTCGTGAAATTAAATTAATTTTTTATATATCTTTTTTAGTTAATAATAAATTTAATTAAATTAATATTAAAAAAAAAACCTTTATATATAAAGTTTAAAAAAATTTTATCAATGTTTTTATCAAACTTATAAATTATTAATTATATACAAAAAAAATCATTAACATCAATTCTTTTTCCCATTTTATAAAATTATAAAACAGATATTTTTTTTTATAAATAAAAATTTTAATTTTTACGTTGAAAAAAGTAAAATATTTTTTTAATTTGATCTAGAGGTCAGTAATGCCTGGCCCGGGGTTAACTTTCTGGGAAAAATTTATTTGGACAGGGCAGGGGTAAAAAAAATAGAGGCCTGGCCAAAAAAAATGGGCAGGATTATTAATGAATTCTGATATTTGATAGAAGTAATAATCCATAATGTGTAATGTACCTCTCCCCAATATTATAAAAAGATGTTTATTTTGGTGTTCATCTACATATATTTCGGATTAGGTCTTGGATTTAAAAAAAACAGGATCGGGAAACCTTAGTAGAAAATTAGAAAAGGGACGGGCTGGGTAAAACTATAGCCGAGACGAGCAAAAGCTAAATTCCAAGGACCAGGCATAAAAATTTTGTAATTTGCGGATCTCTAATTTGAACATTGTTTATTTATATTTAGCATGTTGAAGCGGTTAAATGAATGATTTAATGATAATTGATAAGTTAGTTATTTTACAAAATAGTAAACCTTTCTTCCAAAGATAAATCTCCTTAACAAAAATCGATTATTACATATAAATAATGTCATTATGAAAAAGATTATTTTTTTTCCGCAAATATTATAAATATATGCATAATTACTTTGAGGATAATTATTTTAAGATTTGAATTAGATATGAAAAATTGTTTATCGAGATTTCAAGAAAATACTGATAACATGTCTTTCTTTCCTTTCTGAATCAGGAACTTTAATTTCCATCGCATAAAAATTATCTCTTTTTTTCCCCTTAAATTTATATATAATTATTTATAATATATAATTATTTATAATAAAATAATTATAAAATTAATACTATAGGGAGAAAAAAAAGCACCAAGCCACACATACATTCCATTATCCCATAAATTTAAAATACAAAATGAAATAAATTTACATTTAAAAAAAAAATTTTTACAGATGGTTTAGGGCTAAACTAAAAATCACTAAAATTATATTAAAATCTTATTTTTTTCCCCATTTTACATTTCCATAAAGTTTATTTATTTATTTTTTTTAAAAAAATTGAATTGTATTAAAGAAAAAATAACAGACAGTTGTTTTAGCCTTTTAAAAAAATAAAAAAAATTAGAATAAATTTTTGTCTACATTATGACATACGATCAAAAAAAAAATGTTCAATGGACCGACCGAGAGTTATATATATTATTTCTTTTTTGTGTCTTTGTAGTTTATACTAGAGGTCCAAACCGAAGCCCGGCCTAGGGCGAAAAATTCTACGGGCAGCGCAAAACAATTTGTAACCCGAGCCGAAAAACATTTCCAAAAATTTGGGCATGTTCTGGAAGAGCGGAGATGCGCAGTACTTATTTCTTGCTAACCAAACCTAATAATCGGTCGACCAATAGAAATCTAGATCAGGTGACAAAAGTTATTTCGCATTGTAATGAGTTAAACCAAATCCAATTTTTATTTATGCTAATTCAAGATACATTTCTAAAAAAAATTATTGCGCGATATTTTACCATCTAGTTTAATTTATATATCTTATATAGAAAAAAAGGAATGAAGAATTAGATAATTATAAAATTTTGAAGATGACATGTCTTAAAAAAGCAGGTGTGAAAAGAATATAACAAGGATCAACAAACAACAATTAAACAAAGTGCTAAAATGTAAATTTATAGATTTTTTTTTTTAAATTTAAAAATTTGGTACTATTTAAAAATATTAAAAAAAAAAATTTGATTTTAGTAAGGATAGATATAATAAAAAAAACATAAATAAATATATGCCTTAAAGTTCTTAACGAAATTTATAGTTAATTTTTTTTTAATTGACATTTGGTGATAATGAAAAATTTCCAACAAAATATTGATATATTAAAAATTTGCAATAAAATATTGTACAAGCAAACGTCCCCCCCCCCTAGAATTTAGAGTTTGATGAAATAAATAAACTAATTGTGTTCCGTTATTCAAACCCCAGTTTTCTAAAAATGTTATTTTTATTTTAGCATTTTTACGCTGCATTTCAACCATATCTCGCCTCTATATAAATTTCAGAGACCTGTTGACCATGATCTAAGGCTGCTAAAAGGTCGAAAAAATTATAAACCCGAGAAAGACTATAAATAACAAATTCGAGCTCAGCAAAATTTTATAAAATAAATTTAATATTTGATTAACTAAATTGACAAATTACGCTATAAATAAATCTTTTAAAACTCAGGCTGGACCCTTAAAATCACAAAATTAAAATCTGAGCGGGACCTTTTAGAAAATTCAGATCAGGCTATAAATAATATCGTGTTTAGACTTTAACATG